GGAGAATTCAGGTGTGGATGATAGACTGAGCATTGATGATGTGGCTGGATATACACTGGTAGAGGAGAATTCAAGTGTGGATGATAGACTGAGCATTGATGATGTGGCTGGATATACACTGGTAGAGGAGAATTCAGGAGTGGATGATAGACTGAGCATTGATGATGTGGCTGGATATACACTGGTAGAGGAGAATTCAGGAGTGGATGATAGACTGAGCATTGATAATGTGGTTGGATATACACTGGTAGAGGAGAATTCAGGAGTGGATGATAGACTGAGCATTGATGATGTAGTTAAGTATGCATTGGTAGAGGAGAATTCAGGTGTGATTAATGATGGTGATAAAATAGATATTGGAACTGTAAAATGTTGATAAGTTGTAGATAAAAGTTCTGATTCTGCTGATGTTGAATTGGTAGTGAAAGGGAATGCAGTAGTTTGATCCACTGAGCAAAGTGGTCTTGTAGAAACTATAAGTTGAGAGCAACGCTTAGTTGCTGCGCTATGATTTTGAAATTGATCATTCTGATTCAATTTAATTCTAAAATTTAAAGTTCGTGATGGTTCAGGACAAATTCTTAAATATGATGCATAACCTTCATATGTAAGCTTCCCCCAGTTTACTGTCACAGGGCAGGTAGTATTATTGTGATAAATCCACTGAAAGCGCATCCATTTGTTTCTTCTTGTTGTCATATTAACAGACTGTACTCTTGCTGCTTCAGCCCCTGTTAATTTAAAATATAAATATAACACACACAGACACACACCACAGCATACAAATCATGAATTGTGTGATCTGCACTAGACGTCTAAGTGTACTTACTGCTGAAGGCCTGGCATATTAATTCCTGCTCTGCCACTGGCGGGCAGCCTGAGCATCTCCCTGTTAAAGAGACAATCGGACTTCCATATGCAATAGAACAGTTTCCCGCAGCCACAGTGAACTTGAATGTCAGCACAATATCTCTTTCGGGGCTAGATAAACGGCAGGGTTCAAGAAGATAGAAAAACAGTACTAGATTTCTCAGCAAGATCGACATTTGCATCTTTAGTAATTTTGATGTTTTAATATTGTATTTAATAACTATTAATAAGTGTCCTACAAAATGGCGGCATATAGAGTTCTGATCTCGGTTCGGATATGATTCTCTCTACAGTCCTTGTTATTCTAGTACTGGTATCATTGGGTAGTTGTCAGTCTAATGTATCTCCAATAGACTTCAACACACCTCAATCCTGTAACTCTGCTGCTCAGTACTTCTACCCTGGAAACCTCTCCTGTATCTCTTGCCCACCCAACTCTGTCACTTCAAGCAATGGTGATTGTTCATTCATTGACTGTACCCTATACTTATACTAATGATAGGATTATCCTGTAACTGTGTGACTGGATACAGACAAGCCTCTAACATTGGGCCAGTCGTTTGTGAGACCTGCCCTAGTCTCAGCTCAGTAAGCAGGACATTGCGTCAGTGCCAAGTATTTATGTGT